GGCAGAAATGTTGAGAGCGCGAGCAACACATTGCGAGCGAGTGCAAATGCAAAAACTGAGCGAGAGGGGCTGCTATTGTGTGTGTGTGGATAATAGCAAACACTGAAATACATTTTTGCAAGCAGCAATGAATTTTGTTCACTGAAATTTAGCTTTTCTTCACTCAAAATAAATTTCTCCTCAAAATGCAACCTGCAATTTGTTTTTACATGCGCTCAGAATAGTGGCACAAAAATAACGCCATACACAGCAAGTACTGCTAAAGGCAGCAGACGTAGGTTAAATGATCAGCCTGTGGGTCAATTTAGATGTACAGCCAAGATGTAAATCCATCTGGCTACAATGTGTATTAAAACTGGTATCTAAAATTATTGACCAAAGAATTAAATACATGCACTATGTCCCTTTTATAACTCTTGATTCCAGGTTAAAAATGTACGCTTTTTGGTGTAACCCAAGGTTTACAGGTCAGGTTTTGTTTGTCTTTCAAACTCAATGTAGTTTGTGAAGTAGCCATAGCTGTTTATAGACAACGTTTTTGTCATCCAACTAAATAAAAATTAAGGAAAATTTTAAGACAACAAGATAACTTGACCATACATGAGTGCTGCAAAGACAAAAACAAAAAAACATCCTTAGGGTTGTTTTTGCAATGTGTGTATTGCTTAAATACTTTAAATACTTACATAAATAACCTCTCTCTCAAACCTTTTCCTTATGTTCAGCAGAACAGCCACTTCATGCATGTCACTAGGGGAAAGAAGCAATTAGAGTATTATTTATGGGGTTATGAACAAAAAAAGCAACCGAAAACAACACTATTTTTTCATGTTTGAGTTCAACTGAATTTAAATTGAGCTTTTTTTTCTTACAGCCAAATACTTTCTCCACCCTTTCATCATTCTTTAGTTATAAAGGTGTTATAAAATGTGTTGTGCAACACTGCCTGCTGAGCACAATGCATTGCCTCCATAATCTGATAACCAAAAATATGACTTAAATATATACAAATACTGAACAACCAGACAGTGTTCAAGGTCCCCACTGCAATTGTAAGTCTTTGTTCTAAGTGTAACTGTGGTGTACTGTGGGATTTTTGTTTTTAACTTACTCTAGCTGTGTCATATCTTCAACACCATTTTCCTCTCTTTGCTCCCGCTGAACCATTGTGGGCAGGCTTCTGATTGCATACATCTAAAACAAGCACAGACATTCAGAAATTAAATGCAAGTACATGTTACAAGAACACATTCACTCACAAGGAACTGTTGATTCTCTTACTTTTGAATTATTATTAGTTGCTTACCCTCAAACTTTATGAAAAACATTTCAAAATTTTTTACCTTTTTTGCTGTTTAGTAAAACATTCTGCTTTTTCAAAACAAAAACATCAAGACATACCTAATCATTTATGGAACTTTTTCACTCTAATGTTACACTAGATATTTCGAACTCACTGCATAAACAAAAGCACTTCACAGGTTGACACCATGACAATTTTAGCCATTGTGGATACATAGTTTTGTCATGCCACATTCGTTTTTAGAAATTACCTTGTCAAACCACTGCCCATGTGGTTCCCCCTCCCTGCGGAGATTCCATTCTCCTTGCTCATTCCCCAAGCCTTCCTGTCCCATCAAGCTGCGGGGGTCTAGCAGCTCCCCTTCACCATACATGGACCACTTATTTAAGTTTTGGACTGTCCCATGAGGTAAAACCCTCTCTGCCCCCCACACATCTTCATTTTGTTGGGCTTCAACTCCAGCGTTCTGTGCCCAGTGCTGTCTAGGGCCAGATCCTTGGACCTGGGGTGATACTACTGCATATGAGGAGGGTAGGCGAAAGGAGGCCCCCCGAAGGTGAGGGTTCTGCAAAGCACCAGATAGGTTGAGTGTTCGAGGTTCTGGTGCTTTGGGGGCACCGAGTCGTGTCATGATATTGCCATCAGGGAGGCGGTATTTCGCCCCACGAAGGTTTGGGTTTTTTGATAAGGCATTAGATAGGTCAAGCGCTTTGGGTGCCGAAGCCGGCTGAGGGCGGGTCATGAGAGTTCCGTCTGGCAAACGGTAAGTGGCAGATCGGAGGTTCTGGTTGCGAAGAGCATTGGAAAGGTCAAGTGAGCGCGGTTGAGAGGCATCAGTAGATCCAGGCTGCTTAAATAATGATGTGTTTGGAAGCCTATAAGAGGCACCACGGATGTTGGTTTTTAACAATGCACCAGAAAGGACAGGGCCGGAAGAAGCAGAGGAAGAAGGTTGAGCTTGGTTCCGTGAGAACAACGAAGATCCTTCTGGGAGCTGAAACTTTGCCTTACGCAAGTTAGCATTCATCAGGGCGCTAGAAAGCCCAGGGGAGGCTACTGAGCTCTCTGCACTCTGCGTCTGCTCTCCTGGACGTGTGAGAAATGAACTGTCTGGTAATCGATAAGAGGCGTTACGAACATTAGCATTGAGAAGAGCAGAGGAGAGTGTAGAAGAGGAAAGGGAGGGTGCAGATGTGGACTCTGTCCTGGTAACAAGTGTACCATCAGGTAAACGATATGTGGCTTGTCGCAAATTGGGATTGAGCAAAGCAGAGGACAGCATAGGGGAAGACAGTGGAGATGGACCTGAGACATGTTCAACAGGTTCATTTCTTGTGACAAAAGAGCCATCGGGTAGTCTATAGGTCGCCCGATGTAGACTTTGGTTCTGTAAGGCATTAGAGAGCATCCCACTGCTAACACCACCTACACTATCGGTGTTAACTGGAGTCTCAACAGGGCCCCGGGACATTGTCAAAGTGCCACCTGGAAGCTTGAACATGGATCCCTGGATGTGTGAAGTTCGCAATCCACCTGAGAGAAGTGGGGAGCTACCTCTGACACCTCCTTGTTGTTGTGGGGAAGGTGGAGGAGCAGGTGAGCCTGGCAATGTGGGGGAGGGTTGTCGCTGAAATGGTGAGGCAAAAGAAGCATTACGTAGCTGAGAGGTCAGCATAGCAGGGGACAACTGTGGGGATGAAGGGACAGAAGGGGCAAGAGGGACTGCTGCTTCAGGTGGCGTGAGAACTGTTGTATAGAGGTTGGCATTGCGTTGCAGAGGAAATGAGTAGGAGGCACTCCGTAGGCGTGAGTTCTGCATTAAAGCATTGGATAGACCAGCAGTGGGATACTGGGGCATCATCTGGCTCTCCTGTACATTAGCTGATATCTCCTCCTGTCCACCAGGCATGACAGGTAACGGGCTCCTCTGAATAGCTGTGGTGTTGCTGACATTGTGCAGGTAAGGGTTCTGGAGTGTGCGTCCAAGATTAGGTGATGAGGGTGTAAGTTGAGGGAGGCTCTGAGGGTAAATCTCATGTTGTGTTTGTGGGGAGCTGGGCCTTTGTAAAGGTGAAGTGTGAGCTATAGTGGAGTAAGGGAGAGGAGAGGTAGGAAAGGGTGAGCCTACAATTTGACCATTTGGTAAAGCATTTGTAAGCATTGGAGATGGGCCTGGCTCCATCAATGTATAGTCATAATGAGTGATATTCTGTGATGGTGGAAAAGTAGCAAGAGAAATATTAGCATTAGGAACAGGAGGCTGAAAAGATGCTGGTCTGAAACCATGGGGACTCATTGCCCTGTGAGGCAAAGGGGAGGGTGGATGAGACAAATGGTGCATGGGAGATGCAGAACGGGACAGCATTGGAGATTGTTGCTGCAAGGGCTGTGGAGATGGAGGTGTACTCTGAAGCCGGCGCACTGATGGCTGGGAAGAAAGAGGGCCACTCTGTTTCAATGATTGCTGTGGAGGGACAGGGGGACCTGGAGGAGGTGCTCTGAATGACTGCCTAGACTGAAGAGAGGACTGGTTTCTGGGCATTCGGACTAATGGCTGCCCTCTACCTACAGGTCTGTGGAATCCTCGTTGGGGGGTACCAATTCGCTTGGACTCCCTTAACCCTGTAGGCCGGGAGCCTGCCCTGGCTAACATGGGTGTTCCAGCTATATCCTCTATCTGACCTGAAAGAGGGGCGGGACCACTATGGATGGAGGACCTAAATGGGGCAACATGCTGAGTAACAGGGGCCCCGTGTCGACTGTGTCTCTGTAAGTAGGGGTTGGCTGGAGACGGTTTCACAGCCCCCATGGGCACATGACTTCGAATCCCTGCACCACCTCTCATTCTGCGAGTAGAGGAGCGGGTGGGGAGGGGTCTACTGGTGATGCGCGACGGCGATGGAGAAGGAGGGCGATGGGGAGAGGTGGGGCGGAAGGATGGCGACTCAGCTCTTTCAGGTTGAGTTGGGCTCCTTCTTTGTGAATGTGGCTGGGGTGGAGAGGGGGAACGCCTCATCTTAGATGTCTGTTTTCTTCCTCTGAACAATTGTGGTCTGGTAGAAGGCAAATGGACTGCATCTGGTGGAGGTTGCTGTCTAAAGGAGAGTCTTGGGGAAGGTGGTGGGCTTGCTCTCTTCCTTAGCGATCCCCGGGGAGAAGCTAGCGGGCTGGAAATTGGGGATTGGGGTCGGACAGATGAAGGTGCTCGACGCAACCGAATATCTCCCCTCTCTTTTGTCATTGAAGGCTGAGTTCTCACTGACATACCTCTCCTATGTTGTAGTGGAGAAGAAGGTGGTGGGCTGTGTGGTCTGCGCCTGTTAACTGGGGATGTTGGCCTTTGACCTGGCACTGGGGCCCGCTGACTGAGCACCCGCCTATGGGAGTGAGGAGAGAGGTGTAGGTCAGACCGGATGCCTGTTTGGAAGTCCATGTGATGTGGTGAAAGGCGAGATGAAGGAGGCGCCATTGCCCTAGTTGATCCCAGCCTCAGTGATAGCTGTGGGGATGCAAGGCGACTCATTCGGTGCACTGGCCTAGGTGAGGCAACAGGTGAATGTAGCTGTGAATGCATCATTGGCTGCACTGGTGGGCCCAGTGGTGTCATTTGGACCATCTGAAATGTCTGTGGGTCTTGTGCAAGGGGATCTTGATAGACTTGTGAGGAGAACTGAGGTGGCAGGGGAGATGGGGCCAGATGACTAGGAGAAACAGGGAAAGGAGGGTAAGTGTGCTGAGGGAAAGGAATGTGTTCTTGTTGAATGCTTGCGGCTGTAAGAAAAGGGGCGTGTCCAGCAAGAATGGAAGTGTGTTGTTGGTTCATGACAGTAGGGTAATTTGGCTGTGTAGGATGATATGTGTGGATGGGTTGCTCATATTGTATATCTGACATCATCTCCTGATTGTTGAGGGCCAGAACTGGGGAGGGAGGAGGAAGCATAGGGGATGGGGGACGAGAATGAAGAGGAGGTGGTGGCAATGTTTCCACCTCTAGTCTGTCTTTTCCAAATAACCTAACCTGGGGCCTGGGAAACCTGAACTGCTGTGTAGGAACTGGCTCGGGTAGAGGATAAGACAGCTGTTCTTGTCCATATAGCTGCCCAATCTCAACTGGAATCAGCCCAGAATCCATGTGGAAAGGTTGCTGATAATGATTATAAGTAGGAGCAGGCTGTGGATATCCCAGCATTGGATCATTATATAGACCGGAAACAAAACCATTTCCACCGTTCATCAGTCCATAAGAGTCTGAAAGGCCAAAGGCAGGTCCCACATTGTGGTCAAAGTATTCTTCATATGGCCAAGGGTCATATGGGTCAGAGAAACCATTTATGGCATCACCATAATAGCCATATGGTTCTGACTCTATTGCATATAGCATTCCATCCTCACCATAGTAGTACTCCACCCCTTCATCACCATAGTAATCGTCATCCTCATCCTCATAGTAGCCATAAGGGTAATCATAGTAATCCATTTCATCATCATAGTAAAGCTCGTCATCGTAATAAAAGTTGCCTTCCTCATCATAGTAACCATATTCATCTTCCCACTCATCATCATCATAGTAATCCATTTCCTCTCCAAAAGGGTCATATGGGTCATAGGCAATTGGTTGTCTACCAAAGCCTCTAGGCCTCCACCTGTCATGGTAATCATCCTCATATCCATGCTCATTATCATCATACTCATATTCTCCATTGTAATAATGTGTCTGTCTCCCTCTAGTGTCCCTGTTGGCAAATGACAAGCGCTTTCGGCCTCGTCCTCCAGCCCTTGCACCAAATTGACCATGGCCCTTTGAAGTCAGGAACCTCCCTGTCAACCAGTTTGTTGCTGCAGCTATCCTCCCTAACATCGAACTTTTAGCCTTAAAGCCTGGTGTGGTTTTCTTTTTGCCAAACATGCCTTTGAACTTCCCTCCTAGTCCCTTTGCCTCTGTTGCCATGTTTCCTTTACCCCCTAAACTGGATAGATTTATTGTCTTTTTAGGTGGTGTGGTTTCTTTTGCATTGTTGTCTTTTTTATTAAGCAAGCTGAAGCCAGACAAGCCTGGCTTTTTGTCAGCAGACTTTGCCCCAAAACCAGCAAAAAGCTTGCTGGTGCCTAGAAGTGGTTTACTACCAGCAGCTGGTTTCTTTTTTTTGGAGAGTCGTAGGAAGAGACGGGATGTGCTTTTAAGGTTTCTCTTTGGTTTTGCCTTCTCTGGCTGCTGTTGTTTAGAGGGAAAACTGAAAGGGGATGCCTTTCCTGTAAGGCCTGTTATGGCTTTGGAAGCTCCTTTCAGGTGAGATTTCACATCGGGTGTCTTCTGTACTTTTGCTGCTCCTAAGGTCTTTTTCTGCCCCTCTGCAGCAAATCCCATCATGGCCTTAGACGCTCCTTTAATGTGTACATCACTCATCTTTTTCAGGTTTACTGCACCCATTCCTTTTTTGATTTGTGGCTTTCCATCATCACTCTCATCATCTGATGGAGGAGGCTGTTTAGAAGGAGGCTTAAAACCCTTTACAGCCATGGCCTTGGATGCACCTTTAAGAGCTGCTTTCCCTTTCCCTTTATCTGGCTTCTTGGTCACTACTTCTTCCTCACTGTCACCACTTTCTTCTTCCTCAGTCTTCATCTCCTCTTCTTCTTCCTCCGACCCCTCCTCCGACTCACTGACAGGTTTCTTTCCTTTTCCCTTCTTTCCATCATCCTTTCCTTTCCCCTTAGCTGGGGGCTCCTCCACCTTCTTCCCCCCTTTCTTGTCATCTTTTCCTCCTTTTTTATCATCCTTCCCTCCCTTCTTTGGTTCCTCTGACTTGCCTTTCTTGGCAGCTGATTTTGGGTCACCTTTTTTGGGTGGCATGATGAATTCTGAGTCAAATCATTTCAAAGAAGGTCAGGAAGTTCCCAAACGCATGCTGGACAGGGCAGCATTAATGTAAATGTTGATATGCAGCATTGAGAAGAGCAGTTTAAACAGAAGCGACATCCTCTCATCCCCAGTTGCTTTCATGTCTTCTCTCCTTTTTCCTCCATCCGATCTGTCAGTGTGACACCACAAACACACACTGCAGGATACTCTGTCTCGAGTCAGTTGTTCTATAATGCACACCAAGATAAACACAAACCACAGTCCTTCAAAAGACGATCTAGTAACAGAGTCGGAATCTCAGCCATCAGTGCTCGCTCGCATTACAATACGTCCTCAATCCTCGGCAAAAGAGCTGTTTTCTAAGCACAAAAAGAGAAACAAACCTCCTTTCCAGGAGTATTGCAAAAAAACCCACCAAAAAACCCAAAAAAAACCCCCAAGCTGCAGATGTTTACTGATTTTCAAATATCACATATGGAAAAAAAATCGTGCTGATTGTTTCCAAGTTTTACCCACTTACTGAGTTTTTCCACTTAACATCTAAAATAAGAAAATAATCCATCATGGCAAGGCAAGTTCCTGGTCCCGATGGTCTGTATGGGTTTGTAAGTAATTTCCCAGGTTCACACGACAGATAAAAGACCCTGCTATCCCACTGACAGACTCTGTGTAGTCCTTTGTGTGTCTCCCATTGTCAGTTCGTCCTGTGAGTCCAGCAGTGAATCCTCATCTTGGCCACCGCACCAACTTTAGCGCAATGCTCCCCCCAACAAGGAGAGCCGATGCAAGTGCGTCAGAGTGAGTCTCCGTGTCAAGGGATGTCCTCTTCTTTGTCTCAGAATGAGTGTGCACAAGTGTTGCGTTTGCGGTTGTATCCACCCACAACCGCGTCAGCTTGCCTTTGTGACCTCCTGCAACCTTCTCCATCTCTCTCTGGTTACTGAAACTTCCACAGCCCAGTTCACCTCAACACGAGGCCTCTTCCGCATCTCAATCCAGTTGCATGACATAGGAGCATATATAGAAATATATAAATATATTGTATGTCTGTGCGTGCATGTGCATCAGAATATGAGTCTCCCCAGTTACAATTGAAAAGGGGAACCATAATGTCCCAGCTATACTGGCTTGGGGTAACACTATCTGCTGCCTCACTTCTGTATGAATAATGCAAGCTGGCTGAGCTGTTGCTAAACTGTGTCTGAGAGGCAAAGCTTCAAATAGCTTAACCACACACATACACGCACACAGACACACACACAAGAAGCAGCATGGACCACAGCTGAGAGTGATGCCTTCTATTAGGTTCCTACAGTGCATAT